ATCACAGGAATTGACACTTGCTTGATTAACAATGATAAAAGTTTTACTTGGTTTTCATAATTTGAGAGTTGACTTAGACTTCACTCAAAAGACAAGAATATTTGCATCTTTATGCCTCTGTGCCGGCGGCAGCCAAAGCTGGTGGCATATTGTTTTCAGGTTGTCCGTCCATCTCGTTATCATGGACACGATATCTCAGAAACGTCTTGACAGAACTTCCTTAAATTTGGCACAAACATTCACTAGTAAGACATTCAGTTGTACAAATGTTTATCAAGACTCAAGTACAAACTGATTACACTGTGTCGGCTGAAGATCAAAGTTCAAAGGTCAAGGACAAAGTGACCTCACAAAACACGGTTTTGGTCTTGTGAATACATTATTTCAGTAATGCCTTAAAGGACCATCTTCAAATTTGGCACAAAAGTCCACTTAGACTCAAGGATGGACTAATAAGATTTTGGGGGTCAAAGGTCAAGGGTGTGGTGACTTCACAAAACAGTTTTGACATGTGTTGAGGGCTAGGGTCTTAGAAAATGAAAAATCATCCATTAAACACATGACAGAAACTACTGAATCTTAGCTGTTATTTTATATTTTTCATCTAAAAAAGGAATGTTACGCTGCACAAATACAACAACAATGGCAGCCCATTTCAGTATTAACTAATTCAAACTAATCTACCATAAAACTCAACTGAAGAAATTTGGTGTGGGGTGAGCAAGTGTTTTACAAGCTGCCTGTCTTTTCGTTAATTTTTGTTAAAATTCAAGCAGATGTTTACCCTCTTTCGCAGCTTCTTACTGACCTAGTGTCATATTCTAATAAGCTGCTATTTGCAAGACGTCTCGGCTCCTTTTCATGATTTATACAGTGAACCAAGGAAAAATACAACCCTTGGACCTGGCCATGTTGATACTTAACTCCACCACCTCAGCCTTATATGTGCAGTGTATTAAGGCCTCAAATCTAAAGACAAAGCATCCTTACTGACAAGCAGCTGCTTGCTGAACTGCAAGCAGCCTTCAGCTGTGAATTTCAGCCCATGTTAGAGATTCACCATCTTGACTCTTGATGTACATCCTCTGCAATTTTCCTGAGCATGACCCCACACACCACAAATGCCATCTCTCCAGTTGGTTTTAGTCCCCATTCATGCAGCCTAGAAAGCATGAAACTGCAATCTCTGGAGATGTATACACATACCACCTTTGTTCTTTTGAACAAAGAACCAACATGAACCAACTTAAGGTTGCATTACAAACTAAAGTCAGATGGCTCAAATTTGGAATCCTTCATATTTCCAGTGTCAGATTAATTGTGTGTTGTCTAATGAACAATGAGAGACAAAAGGTCAAACAGGACAGGTTAAGTGCAGAGGAATCCCAGTTTAACCTTCCTCTAGTGTTAGGGTCGGCACCGACCCGTTTTTAGGTTTTAAATGCATAAAAGTACTTCATAAATTTGCTTATTGCATCAAGACTTTTTGACTTTGTCAGGAACTTCTATTTAAACAAAATAAAATAAAAAAAAAACAATTTTACTAAATTATAAAATGCTCTGGTGAAAGTTATGACCTTTGAGTTGTTAGGGTCAGTTTCGACCCAGTTATAATATAAAATTATAAAACAATAATAAGTGCCAAAACTGAAATCATAAACACACTATCAGCCAACAGCCTACAGCCAGCTCTTCCTTCAACCACTTGAGCTTCAGTTGGGGGCTCCTCTCTTTGCCTGTTTGACAAAACAAACAAAGACGGACATGTCCAGGCACGTAAGGCCAATTCAGTTTAGAGTTGGTGACTTGCAGAGTACACATCTCCAGTTTATAGCATGCAACAATGAGAAGAAGATTTAATGTAAGCCAAGCTCTGGATCATATCTTTGCTGACAGTGAGGCAGAGGACACACAGCAGCATAGCGATACAGATGAGCAGGTTTATGAGGAGGAAGATGATGTGGAGTATCAACCTGAAGACACAGACACATCTGATCAGTCTGATGAGGAGGTCACCGGTGCTGAAGCTGCTCTCGCTCCTGCTGAAACACTCATATTCAAAAGGGGCAACATCTGTTGGAGCTCAGTACCTCCTGACATACATGGCAGTGCAGCTGCTGCCACTGTCATCAAAATGACCCCTGGGATCACAAGATTTGCTGTGACGAGAGTAAGTGACATCAAGACATGTTTTGATCTGTTTATGCCATTGTCACTAAAAATAGTCATCATTGCTATGACAAACCTTGAAGGAAAAAAAGTCCATGGGAACGTGTGGAATGACATTGATGAGGAATACCTGGATGCCTACATTGGTGTTCTTCTCCTTGCTGGAGTGTATAGATCCAGCAATGAGGCCACTGATAGTCTCTGGGACGCGTCAACAGGCAGGAATATTTTCCAGGCAACAATGTTACTTCAGACCTTTCGAATGATATCAAGAGTCCTCAGATTTGACAACAGAGACACCAGAGCAAAATCTGACAAGCTTGCTCCCCTCAAGGATGTCAGGGAGAGATGGGTGCAGCTCCTTCCACTGATGTTGAACCCAGGGCCAGAGGTGACAGTAGATGAACGTTTTCTCCCTTTCCGTGGAAAATGCCCCTTCCGTCAATACATGCCCAGTAAGCCAGACAAATATGGCATTAAAACCTGGGCAGCCTGTGATGCAAAAACCAGCTATGCATGGAATCTACAGATTTACACAGGCAAATCTGCAAGCGGCATCCCTGAAAAAAACCAAGGAAAATGTGTAGTCCTCGATATGACTACTGGACTGCAAGGTCACAACATCACTTGTGACAATTCTTTTACCAGCTATGACCTTGGACAAGAACTTCTCAGGAGGAAACTCACCATGGTGGGCACAGTAAAAAAAATAAACCTGAGCTGCTCGCTGAAATGTTGCAGGTGAAGGACAGGGCTCCACTTTCCTCAAAGTTTGTTTTTACAGACACCACCACTGCTGTTTCATACTGTCCAAAAAAACAACGGAATGTGATACTGATGTTCATTCTTCACAAAGATGCAGCTGTGTCATCAGGAAGTGTCAAAAAGCCCATAATCATCCTGGACTATAACAAAAACAAAGGAGGAGTGGACAACCTGGACAAGCTGACTACCACCTACACTTGCCAGCGAATGACCAGGAGATGGCCAGTGGTTGTGTTTTACAACATCTTCAATGTATCTGCATACAATGCATTTGTGTTGTGGACCCACATTCACCAAGGGTGGAACTCAACCAAAAAAAACAAGCGGAGAATGTTTCTTGAGGAGCTAGGAAGTTCCCTTGTCAAGGCACACATTGAGCAGAGGGAACGGGTACCCCGAGACCCAGCCGCTGCAGCCTTGGTCAGCAAGAGCTCACCAAGCACTCCATCCACGCCCACAGCAACACGAAGAGCATCAGTGCCAGCATCCTCCTCAGCCAGCCCTGCCTCAACATCAACCACAACAGCCCCAGTGAGACCACCTGATTCTAAAAGAAAGAGGTGTCAGGTCTGCACTAGCAATAAGGACAGAAAGACAAACATTGTGCTTCACCTGCAAAAAATCTCTGCAAAGAACACACTAAAAGTGTCACTTTTTGCCACACATGCATCTAAACACACACGCATGTTCTTGCAGAGAGACTTTTTATGAACCTAGTACAAACGTATTGTGCCTCTACTGCAAAAAAATAGCTCTGCAAAGAACACAAGTGTCACTTTTTGCCAACCATGCATCTAAAAATACAAATGTTCTTGCAGAGTTTTTAAATGGAACTAGTACTAGATTTCTGTTGGTTTGATTTGCTTGATTGGTTGTTTGACCTTGCAAATCTACATTTTATTAAGTAGTTCTGCTTTTCATTTTGTATTTAAGTTCTATTTTTGGAAGAAAAAAAAAAACAAAAAAAAACAAAAAAAAAAAACACATTTTGGCCTTTCTTGAAGTAAAATATATATATATATATATATAGGTCAAAATTGACCCATAACACCATAGATGTTACTATAGTTAAATAGTAAAATAGTAACATCTGAGATGTGTTCTAATACCCCTCAGTAATAGTCAGGTAACAACCTTTAATTTATTTATATTATTCTCGAGGTTCATTTGACTTAAAATATATATACTGAAAATGAGGGGTATGCTGTCAAAAGGCCCAGGGGGCCACAACATAATTAAAACCAATCTTTTCATGGATAAGGAAGCCTTACATGGAATGCTCGGCTCACCTACGAGTAATAGTTCACAGGTAAACATCACAAACCTGTTTTATTTATTCTATATTATTCTCT